AGCAACAAACAAATAGAAATGGAATTTTAAAGCCAATACCATTTATTTTTTATTTTTTATTATTTACTTCAGAGAAGAAAGGAGAGAGGGGGAGAGGGAGAGGGCGGGAGGCAGAGAGAAAAAGAAACATTAATGATGAGAGAGAATCATGGATTGGCTGCCTCCTGCATGCCCCATACTGGGGGACTGAGTCCACAACCTGGGCATGTGCCCGATCAAGAATAGAATAGTGACCTCCTGCAAAACCAAAACCATTTAGAACATCAAACCCAAAACATCACTTAGGGATAAATTTAACAAAATACGTGTAAGAACCCCTGGCCACTATTGCTCAGTGGTTAGAGAGTCGGCCCACACACCAAAGGGTCACATGTTTGATTCCAGGTCAAGGATGGATATCGAAGTTGCAGCTTCTTTCTTTTCTTTTCTCTTCTTTTTTCTTTCCTCTTCTTTCTTTCCTTCTTTCTTTCTTTCTTTCTTTCTTTCTTTCTCTTTCTTCCTTTTTAATATATTTTTATTGATTTCAGAGAGGAAAGGTAAGGGAGCGAAAGATAGAAACATCAATGATGAAAGAGAATCATTGATCGGCTGCCTCCTGCACACCCCACACTGGGCATTGAGCCCACAACCCGGGCATGTGCCCTGATCGGGAATCAAACCGTGACCTCCTGGTTCATATATTGATGCTCAACCACTAAGCCACAAGGGCTGGGCCCAGGGTTGCACTTTCGATCCCTGACCCCAGCTGGGGTGAGCGCAGGAGGTAACTATTCGACGAGTCTCTCTCATGTTGATGTTTCTCTCTCTCTTCCTCTTCTCCTCCTCCTCCTTTTTCTTTTCCTCCTCTACTTCATCTCCTCCTTCCCTTTCTTCCACACTCTCTAAAAGTAAAATCAATGGAAAACATATCCTTAGGTGATAATTAACATCAACAACAAAATATATGTAAGAAATCTGTACACTGCAAACTATGAAACATGACTGAGAGGAATGAAATAAGCCCTAAATAAATGAAAAAAAGAGATAAATGAAATATCTAAATGTTCATGGGTCAGAAGGACTTGTATCCAGAATCCAAAAAGAACTATTAAAATTCAAGAGTAAGAACATAACTTATTTTAAAAATTGAACAAGAGAGTTGAACAAACAACTCCAAAAGAAGATATACAAATGATCAAAAAGAAGAAAAGATGTTCAAAATCCTCAGGCAACAGGGAAATGCTAATGAAAGTTGTACTGATTAAAAAAGAAAGAAAGAAAAACCACACTGACATACCACTATACTGTCATTAGAATGGCTAAAACTTAAACGTTTGAAGATATATCCTGTTGGAAACTATGGGATTCTAACCCATTTCTGTTGAAAATGTAAAATATACAACCACAGTGTAAAATGATTTGGCAATTTTTAAAAAGAGATTCTCTTCCTAGTTATTTATCAAAAGAAAAAGAAAAAAGAAAGGAAATCCATGTTCACCCATAAGGTCAGTCCACAAGTGGTCATAAGAGTTTATTTACATTTGCCAAAAATGAATAGGTGAATGGACAATTGTGGTATGCCCAATTGTGGTATGCCCATAAAACGAAATATAATGCAGCAACAAAAAGGAATAAACTTTTTTTAAAAAAAGGAATAAACTATTGATATGTGTTCAAAACCATAATGATGAACAAATGAAGCCAGACACAAAGAGAACATTCTATATAATTCCATTTATATGCACTCAAGAAAAGATTACTCAGCAGTGATGTAAAGTTAAATTAGTTGCTGTTGCCTACAGTTAGGGGTGTGGGAAGAGGCATGAGGGAACCTTTTGGGGTGATGGAAACAGTCTACATTTAGATTGGGCGGTGGTCACAAGGCATGTATATTTGTCAAAACTGATTGGAAAAGTTTATCTTATGTACATTACATGCAAATTATAACTAAAAAATGATTAAAAAGACACAACTAAGAAAACCACAGAAAGGAAAAATATTTACTCACAGTAAATATAACTGACAACGGATTTGAACTCAGAATATGAAAAGGAAACCTTCATTAACAATAAAAAGTAGAAGCCCATTTTTAAAATGGGCAAACAACTTCAATAAACTTTTCAAAAGGTATGTATATACTAGAGGCCTGGTACATGAATTCGTGCATGGGTGGGGTCTGGCCAGCCTGCCCCAATCAGGGTGATCAGGCTGGGCTGGCTGGGGGAAGGGGATGCGGGAGGTTGGCCAGCCAGTCCTGCCCCCGATCGGGATGGGGGGGCTGACTGGGGACAGAGCCAGCCAGGAGGAAGGGCCGCGGCCAGCTGGGGGGAGGGGCCATGGGTTGTTCACCGGCCGGCCCCGCCCCCTGGTTGAACTCTGGGTCGAACACCTGGTCAAGGAGACAATTTGCATATTAGCCTTTTATTATATAGGAGGATGGTGTAAATGCACATGAAAAAGTATCCAACATCATTTTTCATGATGGAAATAGAAATTACATTGATAGTGAGATGCCATTCATTAGAATCCTATATAATAAAAGCGTAATATGCAAATCAACCGAACAGTGGAATGTCAGGTTGGCGGGGGGCAGGGCCGGTGAGCAGGTAATGCTAGGCCAGCCAAGGCGTGCGCCAGAGGGAGGGGACGGCGATGGGGTGAGGGGGGCAGCGGCGACCAACAGTGAGGCGATGGGGGCTGATGCCATCCCCTGATCGTCCGCCCAGTCACCTCCTGCAGAATGAGGCCATGGGTGGCAGGACGACTCCGGGTGGGGCCAGCTGCTTGACATCCCCAGATAGGGCCACCAGGGTGGCCTCCCATAGAGGGAGACCAGACTGCTAAACCATCAGTTGGACATCCCCTGAGGGCTCCCAAACTGTGAGAGGGCACAGGCCGGGCTGAGGGACCTCCCCCTAGTGCATGAATTTTCATGCACTGAGCCTCTAGTCTATATATATAAAAACCTAATATGCAAAGTGTTCCCTCAGGAGTTCGACCGACCAAGAGTTTGATCACTCACTATGATATGCGCTGACCACCAGGGGGCAGCACATAATGAAGGAAGGCCCTGGCCGGCAGCCAGCAGCTGGAGAATGGAGTCCCTGTTGGCAGTCGGCAGCCACTAGGCACCCTACTGTGCATGAATTTCGTGCACTGGGCTTCTAGTGACTGAAATAAAAAGATCTACATCAAACTATAGCAAAGATATAGAGCAACTGAAACTCTCAGATGCTGTGGTGGGCTGTAAATGGTACCACCTCTTTGGGTAACTGCTTATGTTCACCTACCCTACAAACTGTGTCTTTCCACTTCTAGATGATTACTCAAGAGATATGAAAACATACTCACAAGGAGACCTGCGCAAGAATGCTCAGAGGACCGTTACGTATATCAAAAGCTGCCAAAGAGCCCAAATGTCCTGCAAAAGGAGAATTTTGTCTATCCTTCCAAAGGGTACACAAAGTGTCCTATACATTCATAAAATGTAATACAACTCAACAATAAAAAGGAATAATGTAGTGATGCATACCACATAGACGAATCTCAAAAACATTATGCTGAGTGAAAAAAGCCAGGCACAAGAGTACAGACTGTACGAATTAAGTGTATTAAATTTGTAAGCAAGTAAACTAATCATGCGATGACAGATCGGAACAGCAGATGCCTCTGAGGGGTAGAAAACTGACTCAAAAGAGTATGTGGTACGAGAGAGCACGGGCCCCCTCCAACTCTCCCCTGTGGGATATAATGAAGGTCACCTGAGAGTAAACCATGGGACTTTGGGAACCTGGCCAAGGCCTGGGTCAAGGAAGGGCCAAAAAGAAAACGTTTCTGGGTGTGAGCCTAGAAGGAAACATTATGGCTGGGTGCTCTGTCATCTGTGCTCTATATAACCCTGGAGACTTCAATGGCAACCGCTCCCCCTCCGCCCCTCCGTGCCCCTGCCCCACGCACATGTAAGTTCAAATAAATCCTAATAAACTCATGTCTTTCACAGCCAGTCCAAGAGAGAACTTTTGGGGGTAATGTAAATGGTCTACTTCGGGTTTTGGGTGGTGGTCCAATGTAATTATTCAACTTTCAAAATGGGGCATAGCACTGTCACGGACCTAACACTTAAGATGTCTAATTTTGTAAGTAAATTATATTTCAAGTTTAAAACTCATGCAAAAGGGTTATGAATCAAAACAAAATTTATTCAGTGGCACATTGGGGTATATGCATGTTTGTAACTTCTGAAGTTTACACAAAAAATAGAAACCCTTCTGAAAGAAGTATATAAAATAATGCCAAACCACAAAAAGAAACTCATGCTAACATTAAGTGAAAACGTAAGATTTAAAATTGTACATATGCTGTGGCTGTAATTATATAAAATATGGCATGAGGAAATAGCTGACGTAGCAGTGTAGTCATGTGGCTTTTTAAAAAAATTCTTCATTGTTTAAAGTCTTACATATGTCTCCTTTTTCTATCATTGACCTCTCCCCAGCCACTCCCACCTCCCAGTAATGTGGCTTTAAAAAATTTTTTTATATCTATGAATTTCTGAACTTTCCGTAAAATGATGATAAAACCAAAAATAAAAACAAAAGTTAAAGACAAAAACAAAAATAGAACCAATATAAACAATAGTAACTGGTACAGTGGGGCCTTGACTTACTAGTTTAATTCGTTCCGTGACGGAGCTCATAACTCAAATTACTCGTATGTCAAATCAATTGTGAACGAGTGAGACACGTGATGCTGGGCTGATGTTGTGGCGTTCACCGTGACGTTCGCTGCGCCAACTAGTGGTGGGGTATCTGAAGCTGGCTCCGAATTTTAGCTCGCAACTCAAAGCAAAAAATCAGCCAAGAGACGGCTCATATCTCGAAAAACTCGTTAGTCGGGACACTCGTAAGTCAAGGCCCCACTGTATATAACAAACACCTGTCTTTTATCCTTCCCAAGGAAGAGAAAGATGCTGTGTCTAATCTTTGAGATTTTTAAGAGATCAAAATCAAAACTCAACTCACCTGGAACTTGGCCATTTTCTCCTGCTCCTGGAGAAACACAGAACCCTGGAAGGCAGAAGTGGCAAAGGAGAAAGAAGCCATGAGACACAGGCCCTGGCACATATGGCTGCTCTGTGTGAGTTTTAAAAAGTGACCCCCTCCTTCGGCCCATAGCAGTAGCCTCTCAGCCAGGGGCCCTAGTGCAGCGAACTACCTGCCTGGCTCCAAGCAGTAAGGCTAATAGCACAGAGTAAAGGGTCATTGCTCTCATCCTGGGGATCGTGGGAAATGGAAGGCACTGGAATACACTAGCCATGACAGTGAAAGCAAACTCAGAGGCCAACAGGTCTGGGTGGGGCATATCGCCAGGATCCCACTAATGATCCTTTTGACCCACTACCCTTTGTGCCTATTCCACATCTATCAAGTGGGGATCGTACCATTGTCTAGCTCACAGCTTTGTCAATACGTTCAAATACGCATGCAGTACCTGAGAGCTACTCATGTTCATGGGCCGTCCTACTTCCGGCAGAAGGACTGTGGCGGGAATGAGAGCAATGCATCCGCTTCTCAAAGCCTGGAAGCAATTCCCTTTATAACATCCAATTCCTTGCTCTGGCCCTACATTTGCTGCACTCTCCTACTCTGCTCAGTCATGGAGCTTTGCAAGGAGACCTGACATTTCACAGTATTTAGTGAGAGAAAGCAAGTGGGGTCTGGGGCGCCTGGCTAGCTGGCCACCTGCCCGCCACCTGCCAACCACCTGCCTGCTGCCTGCCAGCTACTCTGAAAAGCCTTCCATCACCTGGGGGTAGTTGGGGGCTAATTAGAGGGTAAGCAGCTCTTTTGCCTATAAGATGACTAACACATCTTTTTATCCTTTGCAGCTAGAGAACTCAAAACCCATGGAATCAATGAATGGCTGAAAACACACTCCACTGGGTAGTCAGGAAGGAGTGAACCAGTTGATGCCTGAGGCTCCTCTGAGCTGAGCGATTCTGAGCTCCCCAGTGGGAGGAGGAGAGGATGAGTTGTATCTTCAGGGTTTCTTCTTTTACTGGCTTTGCTCAAACAACATCAAGGTCATCCTTAAAAGTTACGTATTCATAAAAGGGTCATTCATGGGCTTCTCAGGAAGGCAAACCCTATGTCGTTATTTATTTAATTTAAAAAGTGATTGATTGGTTGACTGATTGATTTCACACCAGGTATTTTCTCAAATGTCATTCTCCTCAAAGAGCTCTTCCATGACCATGCTTTATATAATTTAAACTCCCCACCGTTTTTCTTCTTTTCCCACTCACTTCCTTTTTATATTTAGTGTCATTACTTTCTAACATCCTCCTGTGTGTTTTGTTATTTATCTTCCTTGTATTTATCCATCTTTTTAATGAAGCCCCACTGTTTTGGTCACTACTCTTTCTCCAGCTCATGGCATGTCGCAGGCACTCCAGACAGATTTGTTTAAAAATAAATGAATAACTTAATGAATAGTTGATAAAGATACATCCTGTGTCATATTAACTGAGAGCTTCATTACTACTCACCAAGATCATTAACTCACTTATTCAACAAATCCTTTTTTAAAAAAATATATTTTCAGTTTTTTTAAAATACATCTTTACTGATTTTAGAGAGGAAGGAAGAGGGATAGAGAGATAGAAACATCAATGATGAGAGAGAATCATTGATCGGCTGCCTCCTGCATGCCCCCCACTGGGAATCGAGCCTGCAACCCAGGCATGTGCCCTTGGCCAGAATCGAACCTGGGACCCTTCAGTCCGCAGGCCGACACTCTATCCACTGAGCCAAACCGGATAGGGCTCAATAAATCCTTATTGAGCATCTAACATGAGCTAGGCACATTAAAGTCCTTGATCTCATGAAGCTGATACTACACTAGAGGAGGCAGGTAGGCAATCAATCAACGGATAAGTATATAATGTATTGGCCCGTCATAGCACTGTTAAGAAAAATATGGCAGGAAAAAAGGGAGACGAACAAACGGGAGGTGCTATTTACCAGGGATGGTATCAATGCCTGTGCTATAGTTACTAGTTCAGGCACATCTGTAGGTCAGTTATCCTCCTGTGCCTCGTCTGTATGTTGTTTTGAGGAAGAAATGAGTTAATACACAAAAGCACTGGAAACTCTGCTTGAACCATAATACACTCCCAATAAATGCTAATTATCATTGTCATTATATAATAAATTATATAGAAATGATACACTAGTCTGGGTTAGTTCCTAAGTCAATTTGTTTTAGGGTATGAATGTATTGTTAATAACTGTACATCAAGTACCAAATACTTTGAAAAGCAACTGTGCACAGCCAAGAGTGGTCCTATAAAGGCCAGAAATACCCATATACTAGTAGATCCTTTTCATAGTTTTGTCACCTGTTTTCAGGAAATCAGAAAACAACCTCTCAGGGCTGCAGGCCCAGGTATCCAGCTGCCAGCTGACACATGCACCAGCCATACACAATTGAATAACTTCCTCTGCAAACCTTGTCAGTGTTGGGCACGCTGAAAAGAACGACACAATCCCCACAACATAGGAACCTACAGCTCAAGAGGAGGCACCAGCTGGAAACCAAGAGCAAATTACATTCCAAATAAACAAACAAATTCAGCGCCTCCCCTTTAACTGCAACTCTTCAGGGCCCCCAGCTCTCTCACTAACCACCATTCTCCCAGTTACCATGTGAGAACTTTGGAACTGTTAATGTCTCCTCTCCCTTGACCCCCATCCTATAAAATAAAGAGGTAATATGCAAATTAACCCCTATACCCTCACAGATGGCTGCCTACGGCCAGGCCGGCAGGGGGGTTAGTGAGGGACGACCAAACGACTGAACAAGCAGACTGCGTGGGATGACCAGGCCGGCGGGGGGCAGGGGGGCCATGAGGGGCAACCAGGCAGGTAGGGGCTGCAGTTAGGGGCAACCAGGCCAGCAGGAGGGGCAGTGAGGGGCAACTAGGCTGGAGAGGGGGGCAGTTGGGGGTGACCAGGCCGGCAGAGGGGGTGTAGTTGGGGGCGACCAGGCCAGGGGGATGGGCAGTTGGGGGCAATTAGGCTGGCAGGTGGGGTAGTGAAAGGCAACTAGGCTGGTGGGGGGGCAGTTGGGGGTGACCAGGCCAGCAGGGGAGGCAGTTAGGGGCAACCAGGCTGGCAGGGAGGGGGCAGTTGGGGGCACAGGGGGCAGTTAGGGGTGACCAGGCTGGCAGGGAGGGCAGTTAGGGACGATCAGGCCATCACACAGAGGCAGTGAGGGGCAATCAGGCAGGCGGGGGGGGGGGCGCGGTTAGGGGCGACCAGGCAGGCAGGTGAGTGATTAGGAGCCAGCAGTCCAGGATTATGAGAGGGATGTCCGACTGCTGGTTTAGGCTGGGATCAGGCCTAAACTGGCAGTTGGACATCCCCCAAGGGGTCCCGGATTGGAGAGGGTGCAGGCTAGGCTAAAGGGACCCCCCCTCCTTGCACGATTTTCGTGCACCGGGCCTCTAGTATATTTATAATAATCCAATATACATCTTCTAGACTCAGTGTCTGGAGTTGGCAATAAAATACCAAAGCAAATGTGATAATGGGGGAGGACGATGTAACAAGATGGACAGAAAGCTGACAACAGTTGAAGGCTGTGCTCATACATTAGTATACATTCATTAGTACAGTATTTTCTCTACACTTGTGTTTGAAAAGTTCATGATCACAGTTGTCACAAGGATGACAACTATGATACAAGTTTTGAGAAGCACAGAGAATATATACAGACATAGAAACAAGCAAAGAGAAATACATTAACATCCTTATAGTTATCTCTACACCTGGGGTCATGGATAATGTTTGGCTTCCTTCAGCTATTTCTCAAATTCTCTATGATGAGCACAAATTAACTCAATAATCAGAATATAAACATAATGTCATAAAAAATAACAAGGAATTAATTGAATGAGCATAGCCTTCAAGTGTGCTAAGGCCCTAAATCTGCCGTGGGCAAACTATGGACCGCGGGCTGGATCCGGCCCGTTTGAAATGAATAAAACTAAAAAAAAAAAAAGACCGTACCCTTTTATGTAATGATGTTTACTTTGAATTTATATTAGTTCACACAAACACTCCATCCATGCTTTTGTTCCGGCCCTCCGGTCCAGTTTAAGAACCCATTGTGGCCCTCGAGTCAAAAAGTTTGCCCACCTCTGCCCTAAATTATTACCAAACTAGAGGCTCGGTGCACAAAAATTTGTGCACTCGGGGGGGGGGGGGGGGTCCCTCAGCCCGGCCTGTGCCGTCTTGCAGTCTGGAACCCCTTGGGAGATAACGACCTGCTAGCTTAGGCCTGCTCCCGGGTGGCAGAAGGCAGGCCCAATCCCTAGGTGCAGCCCCTGGTTGGGCTCAGAGCAGGGCCGATTGGGGAGTTGGGGCGCCGCCCCCTGTCACACTCAAGGCAGAGTCGATGGGGAGGTTGTGGCGCCACCCCCTGTCATGCACAGAGCAGGGCTGATCAGGGGGTTGGGGAGCTCCCCCCTGTCACGCACAGAGCAGGGCCCATCAGGGGGTTGAGGAGCTCCCCTCTGTCACTCACAGAGTAGGGCCAATAGGGGAGTTGGCACACCGCCCCCTGTCACACACAGAGCAGGGCGGATCAGGGGGTTGGGGAGCCGCCCTCTATCACCCACAGAGCAGGGCCGATCAGGGGGTTTGGGCGCCACCACTGTCACACTCAGGGCAGGGCCGATGGGGAGGTTATGGCTCTACCCCATCACACACAGAGCAGGGCCCGTGGGGGGGGGGGGGGCCGCCGCCCTCTATCATCCACAGAGCAGGGCCGATCAGGGGGTTGGGGCGCCTTCACCTGTCACGAACAGGGCGATCAGGGGGTTTGGGTGCTGCCCCCTGTCATGCTGATCCCAGTGCCGGGAGGCCTCTCAGCTCTGCTGATCCCGGTGCTGGGAGGCATAATTACCCTTTTACTATATAGAATAGAGGCCTGGTGCACAGGTGGGGGCCGGCTGGTTTGCCCTGAAGGGTGTCCTGGATCAGGGTGGGGGTCCCCACTGGGGTGCCTGGCCAGCCTGGGTGAGGGGATGATGGCTGTTTGCAGCTGGTCACACACCCTTCAGGGTGGGGGTCCCCACTGGGGTGCCTGGCCAGTCTGGGTGAGGGGCTGAGGGCTGTTTTCAGGCCGACTGAAGCTCCCAACTGCTCCTTTTTTCCTTTTTTTATTCTGGGCCAGCTTTAGCTCTGAGGCTCCAGCTCTTAGGCCTCCGCTCCTGAAAGCAGGTATCTGGTTTGTTTCGGTTCTCGAAACTCTGTATCAACTCCAGCTCTGAGGTCCCAGCCAGCTGAAAGCTGGTTTCTGGGGTTTTGTTTAGCGTCTATATTTGTTACAATGTTTGAAACTGCAGGCTCAGAGGCCTGCAGCGGCCGGCGGGGAACGTTGGAGTCCTCCGTCACTGAAGCAAGCAAGCCTCATGTTAGTTTCAAGCTGCCTGGCTGCAGGCCGCCATCTTGGCTGACAGTTAATTTGCATATTGCCCTGATTAGCCAATGGGAAGGGTAGCGGTCGTATGCTAATTACCATGTTTCTCTTTTATTAGTGTAGATTAGTGTAGATGACCCTCCCTTCTTCTGTCCTCGGGATTACCATTTCTTAGGGCTGAAGGAGGGTATGGCAGCAAGGTCAAGAACCCAGGCTTCAGTTCTATGTCTTCTCTGCTCCCTTAAACTCTTCACCTATCAACATTCTTTGTCTGTTATGAGGATTAAACTAATTAAAGCAAATAAAACCTATAGAAGACTGTCACTCAACATGTTAAACATTGTTACTCGTTCAACAATGTCTCATCCAACCTCCCCTTCATTCATTAAATGTCTGAACATTTGCCCAATAGAGAAAACTTGCTAACGAGTGAAGGAAGTCTGCTTCCCTATTGAGAACAGAATGATGCACAGCTTGTTAAATTATCCCACGTTGGGACAATGTGACCACAAGCCAGGGGTCACTCCCTCCTCTCTGCACCCTCTTTGAGAAGCCAGGCTGAGAACGGACAGGAGGCTGGAAGATATTACAATAGTGTCTCTGGTCCAAGATGAATCACAGTGGGCATCCTCCAGGCACCAGCGGGGGTGGCCCACTTCTGCCTTTCAAACAGGATGGGGGGAGTGGGAAGTCCTTAGCAATCCACCAACAGCCCCGCTCCCCACCACAGAGGACAGACAAGGGCCAGCGGTGCTGGAGCTGGAGCTCAGAACTTATGCAGGCTCAGCACCGAAGTTTTCAGGGACTGAGCACTTCTCAGAAAGAAATAATAGATTGATAACAACCAGCCACCTCTTAGCTTGTGCTGGGATCACTGCTAAGCACTTTCACATCATTTTTTCTCTTTTTTAAATATATTTTATTGATTTTTTACAGAGAGGAAGGGAGAGGGATAGAGAGTCAGAAACATCGATGAGAGAGAAACATCGAACAGCTAGCTGCCTTCTGCACACTCCCCACTGGGTATGTGGCCGCAACAAAGGTACATGCCCTTAACCGGAATCGAACTTGGGACCCTTGAGTCCACAAGCCAACGCCCTATCCACTGAGCCAAACCGGCTAGGGCTACATCTTTTACTTTCACCTAATCTTACAACAAACCCACTAGGGAGGTCCTCCTCAGGCAGAACAGTAAGAAGCTAGGAAAATTCCTTGGCAGGTGGAATGGGAAAACAGACATAACTGAACCAAACCGCAGAGCAATTCACAGCCAGATACAGGTCACAGGTGGAAGGCCCCGGAAAACTGGTGCCGGACCTTGCCAAGGGTGATGTTTCATATCGCTGGTCATCGGTTTAGACCTTCCCCCAGACTTTCCCTCTCTAGAGATAACATCAAGGCATCCGTTGTATTTCAGCTCCAGGCCCAGAAAAAGGTGCAAAACCAGGACAGGGAGGCCAGGGCCTGGCGCTGACCTAACAGTGGAGATCAGGTCCATGAAAGTGCACACCTGGAAAAGCTGATGAATATTTTTTCGAGATCCTCCCCTAAAAATCCCGCCTTTGGGAAGCAGATAAAATCCCTCAAGATAAAGGAAGCCGGCCCTCGCTCCCTTTGGAGCGCGCCCCCGCCTTCTCACGGGTGAACTTTCTATTTTCTTTCCCCTAAACTCTTCCTGTCCCAGCTTTAATAAACAGCCTCTTAAAATCACCTGGATTCCTGCTGTGAAATCTTACACGAAATCAAGACCCCACACACTCCCGGCCGGCTGGGGGGCGACTCGGCCTGATGCCGATCCGGTGGGACACTACTGTCCGGTGACACGACTATCAACCCCTCTCTAGGCAGGAGAAACAGATAAATCAATAACTCCACAAAGATTATACAGCTGGAAAGGCACGGAGTAAGCGGAAGTAAGGGAGGCGAGGGGATCGGCCCAGAGACACAGAAACAGATTCCCGACCCGGCCGATCCCCAACTCCACGCGCGAACCTTGCACAAACCTGCCACCCGCCGCTTCTGTTCCCCAAGAGCGAGGATGGCGCCTACGGGGCCCAGGCCACGCAAGCCAGTCAGAGACACGGGGGTCCGCACTCGCTCGCTTGCTCACTCACCTCCTCGGAGATCGTGGTGACTCGCGCCCATCCCACTCCAGAATCCCGGGGGGAAACGGGGGGCCACAGCTCCGCCCTCCCAGAGCGGAAGTGGATCTCACTGCCCAGCGCTTCTGGACTACACTTCCCAGGATCCTCCACAAGGTGGCGCTTATATTAGGTTGCCGCTTCAAAAAAAAAAAAAAATATATATATATATATATGATGGTTCAGCTCGGTCAGTTCTTAGGCACTATTAGAGCTTGACTTTTTTTTTCTTTTCTTTTTTCTAAATTAAAAAAAAATCACAGTATTAATAAGTGTGACTTGAAAAGTCAATGTGGATGAATAGGGCAGAAAGTTAAAGGATCTCAAAGTCTGGTAGCCCCTGGATGCCTCTAACCCTCTGACAGTTTATCTTGTGTGAGCTATTCATTCGGAAATGCTGGACACATGAAAAGGAAAAGTGATCTCTCACCACCCCACAGAATAAATACCAAAAGTTTCCCATTTATATTGGTTTTAAATATTCATTTTTAAATTAGTTTTCTGGCAAGTGAAAGAAAATACAGTCAAGAAAGTGAGGGAAATACTGTTAACTTGAAAAAGCCTCGAATGTATGTTGAAAATGTTTCTTTCTTCAGCTCACCTTCAAACGTCTCATAATCTATATCCAGCCTGCTCTTGACATCATAAATACAATAGGATGTTTTACTTTTCTACAAGAGCATGATTATTCAAAAAGTAGGTGTGGATGTATGGTATCGCACTTAAGTAACTAACAAATTCAACTTTTTTAGGGCACTTTGAGGTATGCTAGGGTGTCTCAAAAAATGTATACACTTTAACAACTGGTAGCTCTTTTTTGTTGTTAAATATGGGACACTTCATGAATTTGCGTGCCATCCTTGCGCAGGGGCTATGCTAACCTTCTCTGTATTGTTCTAATTTTAGTATATGTGCTGCCAAAGCGAGCAATGATAGCTCAACTTTGAAAATGCAATGTATTTTAATAAACACTGCTTTGGTAATTATTCAAAGTGTGTGTACACATTTTGGAGGGACACCCTATATTTAGTCTCTAGCCAGGTAGCTCAGTTGGTTTTGCCCTGCTACACCAAGGTTACAGATTTGATCCCTGGTCAGGGCACATACAAGGAGCAACCAATGAATGCATGAATGGGTGGAGCAACAAGTCAATGTTTCTCTCCCTTCCCTTCCCTCTCTAAAGTCAATCAATAAATTTTTTGTTAAAGTGTATGCTATGAATTGGTATATGTATAGTAAGTACATTGTGAATGTACTTACAATCTAACTTACACATCCATCAACTCACATTGCTAACTTTGTGGTGGGAACCTTTAAGATCTACTTTCAGCAAATTTCAGCTGTAGTCAACGTGGAATACACTAGATCCTCAGACCTTAATCATCTTATAACTGAAGGTTTGCACCCTTGAGCCAACCTCTCCCTACTTCCCCCACCCCCACCTGCATCCCCCAGGCAACCACCACCGTTCTACTCTGTTTCTATGAGTTTAGCTTTTTTCCTCCCTTAGATTCCACATATAATTCTACTAGGCAGTATTTGTCTTTCTCTGTCTGGCTTCTTTCAGTTAACATAATGCCCTCCTGTTACATTCATGTTATTGCAAATATTTCTCCATATTGTCTATAAAACAATGATTAGAGTTAGAGGCTCAATTTGATTCATTTTTTTAAAAATATATTTTATTGATTTCAGAGAAAGGAGAGGGAGAGATATAAACATCAATGATCAGAGAATCATTGATCACTGCCTCCTACACACCCCCTACTGGGGATCGAGCATGCAACCCCGGCATGTGCCCTGACTAGGAATTGAACACTCAACCACTGAGCCACATGGGCTGGGCTAATTCATTTTTTTTCAGAAAGAATACTTTATGGGTGGTTCTGTTTGTATCTCCTGAAAGTTGCCAAGATATCCTAAAAGAGAACAAGATAAGAACACGTCCTCTACTAACTATCAAGACTCATTGAAAGCCTGGTGGCGTGGCTCAGTGGTTGAGCGTCAACCTATGAACCAGGAGGTCATGGTTTGATTCCCCTTCAGGGCACGTGCCTGGGTTGAGGGCTTGATCCCCAGTAGGGGGCGTGCAGGAGGCAGCTGATCAATGATTCTCTCTCATCATTGATGTTTCTATCTCTATCTCCCTCTCCTTTCCTCTCTGAAATCAATAAAAATTTATATTTAAAAAAAAGACTCATTGCAAAGCTATAGTAACTAAAGTACTGTGGTTTTGGTAAAAATATTGAAAAATAGATCAATCAAAGGAAATTGAGAACCAAAACAGACCTGTAATTATGTATAGATTAATGGTTTTCTTTAAACATGGTACTGCAAAGTAGTGGGGAATGAGGCAAAATTTCGGTAACTGGCATAGGAAGAACTAGATATTCCTATGAAGAATAATTAAATTCTGCCAGAGGCAATATACACCTTGAAGATCCCATAAGTTGATTTTAATTTCATCACCTACCAAAAAATAAATTTCAAAAAAAAAGAGAAAGGGAAGTTTTTTTAAAAAATGTGCATGGCCCTAGCTGGTTTGGCTCAGTGGATAGAGCATTGGGAGGGTCCCGGGTTCAATTCCAGTCAAGGGCATGTGCTTGGGTTGCAGGCTTGATCCCCAGTAGGGGGCGTTCGGGAGGCAGCTGATCAATGATTCTCTCATCATTGATGTTTCTATCTCTATCTCCCTCTCCCTTCCTTTCTGAAATCAATAAAAATATTTTTTAAAAATGTGCATGTACACAGAAGTATCAATATATGTACAAATTCACTTGTATAGAATAATGACTCAAACACATTACCAACTGTATATGAGATTTTATATAATTTTTACAGAAAGGTTTAAATTATTTCAAAACAATTAAGTTTAAAGAAACGCAGGAGTTGGGAGGCTGGGTGAGAGGTACAAACTGGCAGTCACAAAGCAGTCCTGTGGCTGTAAAGTGCAGCACAGGGGGTCTATATAATGAGAGTCTCATCAACTGTTACAGCAGAATGACCAGTCACTATGATGCCCACTGATCACCAGCGGGCAGACGCTCAAGGCAGGAGCTGCCCTCTGGTGGTGAGTGCGCTCCCACAGGGGGCGTGCCGCTCAGCTGCCAGAAGCCAGGCTCACCGCTAGTGAGAGCAGCAGCAGTGGCAGGAGCCTCCCCCGACTCTGCAGCAGCGCTAAGGAGCAGCAAGCAGGGCGGCGTTAAGGAGCGAGGGTCCCAGACTGCGAGATGGCGCATGCCAGGCTGAGGGATTCCCTCCTCCAGTGCATGATTTTCGTGCACCGGGCCTCTAGTATAGTCAGTAATATTTTAATAACTATGTATGGTGCCAGGTGGATACTAGACTTACTGGGGATCACTTCTTCTTAAGTTATATAAATGTCTAACCACTATGCTGTACTGATATAACATTGAATGTTGACTGTAATTTAAAATTTTTTTAAAAATATCATCAACTAGATTAGGAGTCAGCAAACTATAGCTTGTGGGCCAAAACCAGCCTGCCACCTCGTTTAGTATGGCCCATGAACTAAGAATAGTTTATATACCCTGGCTGCTGTTCTCAGTGGTTAGAGCACTGGCCCTGGCACTGAAGGGTTGTCGGTTCAATTTCTGTCAAAGGCACATACCTTGGCTTCAGGTTTGATCCCTGGCCTCAGTCAGGGCATGTGCAGGAGGCAACCCATCTAGGTGTCTCTCTCACATCAATGTTTCCATCTCTCTTTCTCTAAAAATCAATGGAAAAATATATCCTCAGATGAGGATTAACAACAAAAATACCCCACAAAAATAACAAAGAATGTATTCTACATTTTTAAGAGATGGGGGGGAAATGAAAAGAGTATTTCATGACACCTGGAAAATATATAATAAATTCAAATTTCAGTGTCCATAATAGTTTTATTGGAACACAAAAAATGCAAAATCCCATTTAGAGATAACTAGAATACCTACCTAATGCATTTATACCTTTTTTTAAAAAAAAAAATGTGATCACATGAAAATCCCAAGATTTGTTTTCCAAATGAATATATTCTGGACATCATCCAACATCGTTTACTACAAATTTACCTTCTCCCATTTGATATTTGCATAGTGTTCCTCTGGATCAATGAATTGTAAAACACTTTGATAATCAATGATTATTTCTATGTTTGTTTTTATAATCAATAATGTAATTAATGTTCATATATATGAACATTACAAACACAAATTCACTTCTGAAGAGCTAAGATTCACCTCTGGGGATATATTCTTTAATTTTAATCCAATATACTGAATGAAATAAAGCAATCATATTATGAGTCCTTGACTATAGGTAATTTTTAGTTAGTTATTTTATTCATTTCATTTTTCATACCTTTTAAACTTTAGTAAAAAAAAATAATGGTCACTGTAAATACATATAAATTGGAAGTTAATGAGAAAATAATCCAAAACCTTCCCTGATAGCCCCAAACTAGATTGTATATGGCAAATAATCCTTTTCACACATTCTTTTTTGGCATGCACTCATTTTGAAAGATCATTTACATCAACTGGATTTTACCAAGAGGGTTACAACATATTTCTCCCCTGAATATCAGTCCTATTCCTGGATGTATTAGATTCCAAGTGAAGAAACCCTGTAGAGAACGCCTGGGAAAGGCCCCTGAGATGACAATCGTCTGAATCCAGTGGACCCTGGCAGAGCCATGCCCTGGAACATACCTTGCCAGAGGCAGGTGTGCCGTCAGTCTGACCTTTAGTTCAGGCACCAGGGGGTGGATTTCATTATCTAAATCCAGCCTGGCACCAGAAACAAACATGATTATCCAGCCCATCCAGAAGTGACGATTACAAAGATGCACATACTTTCTTTATCTTAAACTTTGGTAAAACTTCCTGGTATCTTACTATATAAAATAAATGTGCTGTATCAGCTCTGGGTCAGCTGTCCCACCCAGTCCCAGCTTTCCTACTGTCTTTGTGTCTGTCTCTTTCATTTTCTCAATCCCCCGTCGCCCATACTCAGGACTCCTGTCCGTTCTCTAGCCGTGCTGGTCTCAGAAAAGAGAGAAATATTTATAAAACCCCTTTCCACTCTCAAAACTTTAGTGTTTTATCCCCAGCAAGGACTCTCCAAAAACTAGATGTACAACCTGACAGGAAGCATGAACACATTTCTCATTCTTAACGATTCTTGCCAGAGTGGACTTTCTGATGGTGCGTGAGACGTGAGCGGTGACTGAAGTCCTTCCCGCATACGTCACACGTGTACGGTTTCTCTCCAGTGTGGACTCTCAGATGGGCCTGAAGACGTGAACTCTGACTGAAGCCCTTCCCACACTCCTCACATTTAAACAGTTTCTCCCGAAGGTGAACACTCAGATGGACTCTAAGATTTGAGGGGAGACTAAAGGACTTTCCACACTCCTCACACTTATGGGGCTTCTCTCCAGTGTGCACCCTCTGATGATGGCGAAGATTCAAGCTCCTACCAAAGCCTTTCCCACACTCCTCACATGTGTAAGGTTTCTCCCCAGTGTGGCCTCTCTGATGGTACAGAAACTGTGAGCTGTACCTAAAGCCCTTGCCACAGACATCACATGTGTATGGCTTCTCCCCCGTGTGGACTCTCTGATGGGACTGAAGGCCAGAGGACTGACTGAAGCCCTTCCCACACACACCACACGTGTACGGTTTCTCTCCAGTGTGGACTCTCTGATGGACCCGAAAATCGATGGACTGACTGAAGCTCTTATCACACTTGTCACATTTATAGGGCTTCTCTCCTGAGTGGACTCGCTGATGAGCGTGAAGATTTGATCTCCAACTAAAGCCCCTCCCACACTCCTCACACTTGTATGGCTTCTCCCCCGTGTGAATTACTTGGTGCAGTTTAAGGTTGGAACTGTAACTGAAGCCCTTTCCACACACATCACATTTGTATGGCTTCTCCCCCGTGTGGACTCTCTGATGGGTTTGCAGCTTTGAGGACTGACTGAAGCCCTTCCCACAAGTTTCACATTTGAATCGTTTCTCCCCAGTGTGGACGTTCTGATGGACTTGAAGGTTGGAAGCCTGGCTGAAGCCCTTCCCACACTCCTTACATCTGTAGGGTTTCTCTCCTGTGTGAACCCGAAAATGGATGTGAAGATCCGTATTGCGAGTAAAGCCTTTCCCACACACCTCACATCTGTACGGTTTCTCTCCAGTGTGGAGTCTCCGGTGGCATATTAATGGTGAATTGTGGCTGAAGCCCTTCCCACAGACATCACACTTATAAGGTTTCTCCCCAGTGTGGACCCTCTGATGGATGTGATAGTGGGCGGCCTGAGTGAAGCCCTTCCCGCACTCCTCACAGATATAGGGCTTCTCACCCCTGTGCACCCTCTGATGAACACGAAGATTAACACTCCAACCGAAGCCCTTGCCGCACTCTTCACATTTGTATGGCTTTTCTTCAGTGTGGACTCTCTGATGGCATTGGAAGTTTGAACTCTGACTAAAGCATTTACCACACTCCTCACATTTATAAGGTTTCTCTCCAGTGTGAGTTCTGTAATGAATGGTGAGACCTGTGCTGCTACTGAATCCCTTGCCACAGTTGTCACATCTATAGGACTTTTCTCCTGCATGATCAGAATGAGAATGAAAGGAACTCTTATTGAAGCAATCATCGGAGTCATGACATTTCGAGAGTTTCTCTCCTGGGTGAATCCTCTGAGGAGCCTGCAGGGGTGAGTTCTGAGCCAAACATTTCCCTCCTGGGTGTGCAGTCTGGTGACTTGAAAGCAGTGAGCTATAGCTGAAGCCCTTCCCACACTCACTACAGAGATGCAGTTCCTCTCTGCAGGGTAAATGCTGACAGACGCCATCGCGCATGCTGTTCCCACAGTCATTAGATCTGTAGGGTTTCTGTTCTGTGTGAATTTTAATATGATCACTAAGCAGTGATTTCTTCATGGCTTCGCAGGCATGCAGGTGATCTTTCACATGACTTTGCTTACCTCCATTCTGATTCTGTGACTCACTCAGGTGCATATGCCCACAAGCATCCTCGACATGGAAACAGTCTTGAGTTTCAACACAGCAGGGGCCTTCTCCTTTACATTTCACCACACCACTCCCACTCCCAGAGGTCTGATCAGAACGGCCTTGTAGTAACCGGGAGCTCTCCCTCTGAGGACACCTGGTTGAATCACTTGCAATCTGTCTCCAGATTTGCCAGAATAGCGTTTCATGTGAAAGGTACTTTAATGCAACTTTCTGAAGAATCTCCACCTCATTCTGATTCTTGCTGCCTGTAAGAAAAAGCGGTATTCCAAGATGACGACAAGTGAAAGCTTTGCTCAGAAATGTCAGGATTTCACACTTAGACAATGGGGCAAGGCCTTCATAAACCTAGGGGAGGGTCATCTCTGTACAACACCATTTGTCCTTTTCTTGCTTTCCCGTGCAGTTGAAGCAAAGAATAGAGTCGCCAGGCTCTTACCCACTAAGTGTAAAGGTGACCCATTCAGAACCATAAGTCTAACATGTAACACCTGAGCTGAAGTCTGGACTCAGATGGCTGCAGAGCAACAAAGACAATCCCCATTCTAACCTACAGTGACATCAATTAAAAGTTGCTCACCTTGTCCACAGTATTCCTATGACCAGTGGGATTCTACCTCATTAGGCTACAAAAGCTCAGACTGTAGGCATACAATAGGATTTTAGGTCCTGGTAGAAATTATCTTCTAAGAGTAAATTTGGGAAATGGTCGGACTAATAACATTCACTGTTCTAAATCTGGAAGTAAACCAGGTCTCAGTAAGAAGTGGAAAAGGGAAAACTAACCTGGTACAACTCAGGAAGAACCTGGGAAAAGGAAAGAAATGGCACAGTGCAGACTCTCAAGGGCAATCCTGACGAGGAAGAGAGGGAGGTCTCCTCGCCTTGGAAAGCTTTCTCGGGAGAGCTAGTACTGTGCTGTTTCTCATCCCCTCAGGTCTCTACTCAAAGTCACTCAATTGGGTGAGGCCTTCCTTATCACTCAATATAAAATAATTCCTCCTCACCCCCATACACCTTTGATTCTTCCCATTTGCCTTTCCTGCTTTATTTTGCCCCACAGCACTTGCCTGATTGACTATATACTTCCTAATTTTTTCTTATCATTTGAGACCCACTAGAATGTAATGGTCACAGGAAAAACATGCACTGTTTTCTTTACTGCTTTATCACAGCTGCAACAGAATTTTTCAAATTGCTGAGAGGTATCAGTGAACTGTGAACCCGATTCCATAACTGTGACAAATATAAAAAAAAAGAATAAAAATATGAGAAGTGTATACAAGCTAAGGGTACCACAACTGTGTGAAATGCTTGTTTCAGCTACAGGCACGTATGTAAATATGCACATACATTATATTGATGCTGGGTCAAGATGTAAAATATTTCTTATTGAAGGTCATGACTAAAAATGGTTGGAAGCCATTGGCTTAAAATGTTTAAGGTGAGGGAGAAGGGTACCAAATCCTTAAAAATTTATTGGAGTTAGATTCTAATAATACAGGCTAAAAAAGTCTCAACAGGTATATACACGGTTCTGGGTGTGGTGGGCTAACTGAATGGCCCTCAAAGACGTCCACACCCTAACCTGTAGGACCTGGGAACATGTTAACATTCCCGACAAAGGGGACTTTAGATGTGACTAAATTAAGGCTCTTGAGAGGGGGTTATCCTGGGTTATCTGGATGGGTCCAAAGTAATCACAAGCGTCCTTATAAGAGGGAGCAGGAGGAGACCCTCCGAGACCTCACCCGCTGCATCTATCCCTTTTGCTGGTGTGGAGACTATTGTCACAGTCCAGGCAAGAGATGACAGCACTCCCACACGAGTGGTAATCACAGATGCAGTGAGCAGATTAGCTGGTACCTGCAAGAACAGCCATGTGGTTCTCCCTGGAATTCCCATTTCTTTGAGTTTCTCTTTCCATCATCCAAAGGTTTTCTTCTGCCTCCAACTGGGTTGCCTTACCTGGTTTGAAGGAAAGATATCCTATGAAAAGGCAGATATATGTATACATGTAAGATGCGCAGAGAGCTAAAATATATTTTTGTTCAAATTCCATAATCCTCAGAACCTGTAAAGTGATATTTTTAAGAGCTTTTTGATCATGAACTATAATAATAAAGAAATTTAGGTCGTGGCCTGGTTCATATCTATCCTATATAATAAAGGGCTAATACGTATATGCAAATCGACCGAATGGCAGAACCACCAGTCGCAATGATGCGCACTGACCACCAGGGGGCAGACGATCAATGCAGGAGCTGCCCCCTGATGGTCAGTGTACTCCCACAGGGGGAGCGCCGCTCAGCCAGAAGTCCTGAACTGGGCTCATGGCTGGCGAGCACAGAGGCGGTGGTGGGAGCCTCTCTTCTCAGTCAGGCATCCCCCAAGGGCTCCTGGACTGAGAGAGGGCGCAGGCCAGGCTGAGGAAACCCCCGTCAAGTGCACGAATTTTGTGGACCAGGCCTCTAGTATATAGATAAAATTAGAATTAGCCATTGTCTGTTTCCATTGAATTTCTCACACGCTCACACCACTCACTGCAAATGGACATAGTACAGGCTGCAATGTGAGCAGGCAGGTCTTGATACAGAATACTGATAGAATAAAATAGAAAAAGGAGAGGAACTATTTCATGGGGGGGGCGGGGGGAAGTAATGCCAATGCAGGGGTGGACAAAAGTACGTTATAGTTGCTCATATGGAAAAGCTTTAAATCAAAAGAATGTCACTCACAGCTGTAAACTTCCTTTTGCCTACCCCTGGACAATGTGCTAAGTTGATTCCATGACCTATCAATGGGTCACAACCATAATTTGAAAGATGAAGTATTTGAAGGACAAAGTATAGAAGCTAAGCTGCCTGTTTATACTTCATTTAAAATAGGGCTTCTCAGCCAAGGCACTGTTGATCGTTTGGACTGGCTAATTCTCTGCTGTGGGGGTTATTCTTTGCATTGAAAGTGGTTTAGCAGCATCGCTAGCACCCCTCCCCCAGTCATGACAATAAAAACTGTCCCCATACATTGCCAAATGTCCTGGGGGGGGGGGGGGGGAGGGAAAGGTGACAAGATTTTTCCCTGAGCAGGAAGACCAGAAAAACCTTTGCCTGTAATCCCAGGGGTTAGAAAAACTGTGTCTTCAAGGTCAGGGAACTATTTCAAAAGGTCTAACTCTCTGAACAGAGGACACAGAGACTCTCAAAGGGGCTGAGATTCAGTGTCAGAGGGCGCCTGTCCTCACCCACTGAGACCAGGTTCCGGAAGTTCTCCAGCATCACGTCTCGGTACAGCTTCCTCTGGACAGGGTCCAGCAGCGCCAGCTCCTCTTCAGTGAAAACCACAGCCACGTCCTTGAAGGTCACTGCCTCCTACAACACCAAACACACTCCACCTGAATCTTGCAAAAAAGGCCCATGAAGGCACCATCGACAAGTTAAAGAACGTTACCAAAAAATCGTTATAGAGATGGAGGACCCCAGGCAGTTTTCAGTCAATAGTTGTCCCTCTCTCACTACCTCTCCCTGTCTCCCTACAAATCTTGGGCTCTGTCACTGTTTTTAACGTTTGCAAAGTTCACAGGCCTTCAGCAATCCTCCAGGACAGGTCTCCAGCTTATAGCTCTTCCTCTGTGTTTTGAAGACACATGCTACAGCTGATGCAGGAACAGGCCGAGTTCAAATGCCAAGGTATTAATTACAAGATGTTGGACAAATTCCTTAACCTCTAACAACCTCCACTTCTTCTCTACAACGGTGTCTCAACTGCAAGATGTTTGAAAGGATTAGATAAGTGAATATACGTAAAGTGAATATACGTAAAACGGTGCCTGGCACATAACAAATACTAAGTAAGTTTGAACAACTGGTATCGTTATAGACGCTTCCATTCCATTTTGGGATTGCAGAGTATAGTATTCCTTGGAATTGACCATTAATCTTTGTTTTTTGATGATTTTTTTGATGGTGGTTGTTGTGATGATTTATCTTTAATACAAATATATAATTAATTACAGATTTTTTACTTATAATCAATGCTGCAAAGATCCTTTTACAGAGATCTTAGCTTAGAAGTAGCGATTGCAAAGTCATAGAATAGAATATGAAGTTACAAATTTGAAAGCAGAATGGCAAATAGCAAATTTCCCTCTCTAAAGGTTTTTCCAAGTTACCTTTCTTTTTTTTTCCTTTTTAAATATATTTTATTGATTTTAGACAGGAAGAGAGAGACAGAAATATCAATGATGAGAGAGAATCATTGATTGGCTGCCTCCTGCATGCCCCCTACTGGGGATTGAGCCTGCAACCCAGGCATGTGCCCTTGGCCGGAATCGAACCTGGGGCCCTTCAGTCCGCAGGCTGACGCTCTATCCATTGAGCCAAACCAAATAGGGCCCAAGTCACCTTTCATGTGAGAATACAAACGTCCCTGAATCTCTAGACCAGCGGCTATCAACCTGCGGGTCACCACCCCTTTGGGGGTCTAACGACCCTTTCACAGGGGTCGCCTAAGACCATCGGAAAACACATATATAATTACACTAAAGACCCGGTGCACAAAAATTTGTGCACTCGGGGCGGGGGTGGGGGGGTCCCTCAGCCCAGCCTGTGCCCTCTCACAGTCTGGGACCCTTCGGGAGATAACGACCTGCTGGCTTAGGCCTGCTCCCAGGTGGCAGAGGGCAGGCCCAATCCCTAGGTGCAGCCCGTGGTCGGGCTCAGAGCAGGGCCAATTGGGGAGTTGGGGCGCCGGCCCCTGTCATGCACAGAGCAGGGCCGATCAGGAGGTTGCGATGCCACCCTCAGTCACGCTCAGGGTAGGGCCGATTGGGGGGTTGGGGCACCGCCCCGTCACACTCAAGGCAGGGTCGATGGGGAGGTTGCGACGCCACCCCGTCACGCACAGAGAGGGCCAATCAGGGGGTTGGGGCGCCGCACCGTCACACACAGAGCAGGGCTGATCAGGGGGTTGGGGCGCCGCACCCTGTCACACACAGAGCCACAGGGCGATCAGGGGTTGGGGAGCTCCCCCCTATCAGGCACAGAGCAGGGCTGAGCAGGGGGTTGGGGCGCCTTCCCCTGTCACGAACAGAGCAGGGTGGATAGGGAGGTTGTGGCCCCGCCCCGTCACGCTGATCCCGGTGCTGGGAGGCATATTACCCTTTTACTATATAGGATAGAGGCCTGGTGCATGGGTGGGGCCGGCTGGTTTGCCCTGAAGGGTGTCCTGGATCAGGGTGGGGGTCCCCACTGGGGTGCCTGGCCAGTCTGGGTGAGGGGCTGAGGGCTGTTTTCAGGCTGGCGGGTGACTGAAGCTCCCAACTGCTCCTTTTTTTCTTTTATTCTGGGCCAGCTTTAGCTCTGGCCCCAGCTCTGAGGCTTACGCTGCTGAAAGCAGGTATCTGGTTTGTTTTGGTTCTATAATTGAAACACTGTATCCACTCCAGCTGATCCCGGTGGGCTGAAAGCAGGTTTCTGGGGTTTTGTTTAGCTTCTATATTTGTAACAATGTTTCTAAAACTGCAAGCTCAGAGGCCGGCAAGGCAGGCGGGAACGTTGGAATCCTCTGTCACTGAAGCAAGCAAGTCTCATGCTAGTTTCAAGCTGCCTGGCTGCCGGCCGCCATCTTGGCTGGCAGTTAATTTGCATATCGCCCTGATTAGCCAATGGGAAGGATAGTGGTTGTACGCCAATTACCATGTTTCTCTTTTATTAGATAGGATATTGTTTTTGTGATTAATCACTATGCTTTGATTATGTTCAATTTGTAACAATGAAATTGGGGGTCACCACAACATGAGGAACTGTATTAAAGGGTCACGGCATTAGGAAGGTTGGGAACCACTGCTCTAGACTCTGGACAAATGGGACATAATTCCTTTAAAAAAAAAATTGACAACCTAAGTGAAGTAAAGTTTTTATTAACATTTACACACATTTAGTTATTAGTGATCATTATTTTCTACATAAATTTACTTTATTTTTTGTGTGGCTCATTTCTTTTATTCATATTCCCTTGAGTTTATCTTACTAACCTTAATAAGCATTGTCAATAGTAAGCCTTTATCTAATATGTATAAGTATATCCTGTCAATTCTAATTTTGCAAATGTGTAAGTATGAGTGCATGTGAGAAAGGGATATGGGAAAGTGAAAACAGCTAGTTTGTAAAAGAGGGTAGTAACAATGGAAATTATTTTTGTCTATTTCAGATCTGTATTATCTTTTTCAGATTATTTTGTGAAATAATAAAGATAAAAACAAACAAACAAAACACCACACACACACACACACACACACACACACACAGAGTCTAGTGCACAACATGCACTCAAGATCAGTTGTTTTCCATGAACCTTTCCAAGGAAGAGAAAAGATATGTGCCTAATCTTTGAGAAATAAAATTACATCTTAGGAGACAGAAAGAAATGCCTTACTTACCTGAAACTTGGTCATTTTCTCCTGCTCCTTCTGGGGAACGTCAGGGTCCTGAGAAGGCATAACTGAGGAAGGACAAAGAAGCCATGAGCCTGGCTGGTGTGGCTTCAGTGGCTGAGCGTCAACCTATGAACCAAGAGGTTCCATTCCCCGTAAGGGCACATACCCCAGTTGTGGGCCCGATCCCCAGTAGGGGGCGTGCAGGAGGCAGCTAATCAATGATTCTCATCATTGATGCTTCTCTCCCTCTCTCTTCCTCTCTGAAATCAATAAAGATACATTAAAAAAAAAAAAAGAAGAAGAAGAAGAAGAAGCCATGAGCCACAGGTCTGGGCTCCCATAAGCCCATGTGGACCTTTGGAGAAATTACAAAAGAGCACTCCTACTTCCAGGCAGACGCAGCCACATCCGGCTGGATAAGCGGAGCATGGAAGAGACTACAGCTGCTAATGGGTTTGTCCGCCAGGGACCACTGGATAGTGAACAATCTGCACAGCCAAATGCAGTATCCCTACCGTAAGGGTTTCTGATCCTGGGGATGGGAAGAAATGAGAGGCGCTGTAACAACACAAGGGTTAAAAAAAGTGGGCTCTGGCCGAACCGGTTTGGCTCAGTGGATGGAGCGTCGGCCTGCGGACTCGGGGGTCCCAGGTTCGATTCCGGTCAGGGGCATGTGCGTTGGTTGCGGGCGCGTCCCCGGTGGGGGGTGTGCAGGAGGCAGCTGATCAATCTCTCTCATCGATGTTTCTGACTTTCTATCCCTCTCCCTTCTTCTCTGTGGAAAATCAATAAAATATATTTAAAACAACAACAACAACAAAAAAAAAAAAAAAAAAAAAAGTGGGCTCTGGAGTCAGGGGCCTAGGTTTATTTATTTATTCTATTTTCTATATTCTTATTCTTATTATTTATTATACTATCTAAGTCTATATATTGGCGTATCTAATGGAAGAGAGAGCACCTGAGAGAGTTAGACTTTGTTGCTATAGCGAGCTCAAATTGTGTGAGAGCGGTGGTTCCCAACCTTGTTTTGGCCACGCCCCACCTAAGCATCTCTAAAATCCTGAAGCCCCCGCCGTGACATATAATTCTTATTATTCAAAAAGTAAACTCCTTTTTAAAAAAAAGTGAACTCCTATTCATGTGGAGGAAGCCTAAAAAGCCATTAACTTGGTCTAAACAAGCTTCCAAAGAACACGGCATCCACGAAAGAGAAAAATAAAAGAACGAAAGGACAGTTGAAGGGCTGAGGAAGAAATCACTAAGAAACTGTTAAAATAATAATAATAATAATAATAATAATAATAATAATATGAAGTGATGTGAAAAAATAGCAAATAAAGTTTCAAAACATATAATGGAGAACTGAATGCATAAATGTCACAATATATACTTATGTACTGTATGTATATGAGACCCCTAGAACCATAAGAAATGCAAAAACTTCACTGTTAGTAACTCATTCTCAAATTGCTCCCCTTAAAAAATCAAATTGCTCCCCTCTGAGAGCAACCTGTGTCCCACGTTGGGAACCACTGTGTTATACATTTAGGGGCCTAGGTTTAAATCCTGGAAATGATATTTACCATCTGTGTAACAGCAGGTTATGCTAACAAAACAAAAAAAAACCTCTCTGCACCTCACTTTGGTCATCTGCACTATGATAGGATAAGAATCGTCTATTATACCCACTTCATACAGTTGTTCCCAGGACTAAATGAATAGATAGGAAGTTCTAAGAACCAGGAATCCTGTAGCTACAAAAAGGGCAGATAACACTTTGCATCATAAACTGTACAGATGTCCTCGACTTAGGTTGCAGTTATGTCCCGATAAACTCATTGTAAACTTGAAAATATCGTAAGTCAAAAATGCAGTTAAGCCGCGGCTGGATAGCTCAGCTGGTTAGAGCATTGTCCTCATACACCAAGGGTTCCCATTCGAAGTCCGGTGAGGGCACATTAGAGAAGCAGCCAATGAATGCACAAATAAGGTTTGATCTTCGTCTCTCATTCTCTCTAAAAGTCAATACAAAAACATTTTTAAATGCAGGTAATTGATCTCTCTTTTCCTCCCTCTTTAAAAATCAATTTAAAAATCTGTAAATGCAGGTAATACACTGAACATCATGGCTCAGCCTAGCCTAAACGTGCCCAGAGCACTTACATTAACCTACAGTTGAGCATTTATCTTGAGTTTCATCTCAAGAGTAAAATACACAATATCCAAAAAATGCTGGCAGCACAGCTGACTGGGAGCTGTATCTTGCTGCTGCCGCCCAGCAACATGAGAGTGTGTTGTAGCACATATCGCTAGCCCAGGAAAAGATCAAAATTCAAAATATAGTTTCTACTGAATGCATGTTGCTTTTGTACCATCATAAAGTCAAAAAAAAACAAAAACCCAAGTAGAACCATGATAAGTTGGGGACTGCCTGGATTTGCAATGTCCTTCCCAACAAAAAACAACTATAAAGACCTGAAATTTCATTTATTATTGCTCTCCTATGAAAGTCACCTTAAAAATCTGGAAACCCTAACTCTCACTTAAAATTTCGTCTTACCTAATAATATATTGCCCAGCTAATAACATTTTGTTGATGCTGGTATTAGTTTTCTAAAAAGTGTCATTTCGGGTCAGTTTATTTCGTGCAGCCAGAAAAGGCTATTGGTAAATAAACCTTTTATCCTATGTGCATGGAGATGAAGAAAAACACACAGCGAAGAGAAAGAAAAGTCAAGAAACATGGAAGACAGATTGAGGCCCTAACACAGCGGTTCTCAACCTGTGGGTCGCGACCCCTTTGGCGGTCGAACGACCCTTTCACAGGGGTCGCCTAAGACCATCCTGCATATCAGATATTGACATGACGATTCATAACAGTAGCAACATGACAGTTATGAAGTAGCAACGAAAATAATTTTATGGTTGGGTCACACATGAGGAACTGTATTGAAAGGGCCAGAAGGTTGAGAACCACGGCCTTAATGTGTCTAACAAGAGCGTGAGAAGAGAATGGAAAACAATGGCTGGTCTTATTTCAAGAGATAAGTGCTGAGTTCACAAACAGAAATCCTAAACAGTACAAATAAAAACAAATATCTCCAAAACAAATGACAGTGAAACTCAGGAATGCAAAGGACTAAATAAACCTAAAAACAACAACAAAAATCTTTAAAAATCCCACAAAGAAAATACAGTTTACCTAACAGACATGACCATTAGACTGAAACGGGGAAACAGAATGGAGAGCTAAGACAATTGAATAATGTCTCGAAAATGCAGAAAACTGTCAACCTTAAGGTCTACATTCACCTAAATGGTTATCCACATGATGGAGAAACAACCAATGACAGGTCAGCTGAACATCACTGAAGTAAATTTAAGACTAAATGAACTCCGAAAGAAGCAACGGTAAGAAAGCATTTGTAAATATATTTGGTAATATCATTTTTTTTAAATGCCCAAAAATGATTAGACAAAGTTGAAGAGTGGTTAGAATAAAAAATATATATCTGTAACCTTTTTAACTTAGCCTACGTTAAAAAAAAACAAACAAAAAAACAGGTGGTGGTGGTGGACAGCCTTATCAAACTTTAAGTACACTTTCATCTCTATAATTTTCAGAATGAAAATCCATGCTTATTTAGTATTTGTTGAGCGAGACAATCATTTTTAAAAATTAAAAAAATAATCCACGCCCATAATTTCAAAACCCCTTGAGAGCAAATAAAAGGAAATAAACTGAACTGAGCCCTGGCCGGCTTGGCTCAGTGGCTGGAGTGTCGGCCTGCGGACTGAAGGGTCGCAGGTTCGATTCCAGCCGAGGGCACGAGCCCGGGTTGCGGGTTTGATCCCCAACAGGGGGCGTGCAGGAGGCAGCCCACCAATGATTCTCTCTCATCATTGATGTTTCTCTCTCTCTCTCTCTCTCTCTCTCTCTCTCTCTCTCTCTCGCCCTCTCCCTTCCTCTCTGAAATCAATAAAAATGTTTTTTTAAAAGTCCTAAAAAGAAAACCTGAACTGAGGGCAAAAGAACAAAAGAAATGCAAAGCGTAGTCAATTTAAGATATAAATATACATTTAAAATGTGTGTGTGGTAGTAACACACACACGCATATGAAGAAGCAAATTAAGCTTCTCGGGCTTATTCAACAAATATCTGAACACGTTCCTGGTTGTAATTTACGGAGCGAAGGAACCCTTCCAACTGAAAGGACAGACGGGAAAGTCCCAGGGTGTGTGGCGGGCGGTGCTGCGAGGGGCCCCGAAGTGCCCCCTCCTCCCGCCGAATTCGGGGGTGAAGGGAAGGATGAGGGGGCTGTGCCATTGTGTCTGCCCCCCCTGCACGAGCGGGGGAGAGGCGCTGCCTCCTAAACGGAGATGACAACTCAGTCAGCCCGGGAGGAGCGCGGCGTCGGGGGGCACGGAAGGGCCCGGCCCCGCTCCCGGAGCCCGACCTTCGCTCTCCCTTCGCTGGGGAGGGAATGCCGTCCCCGCCACCCGAGGCCACCACCGCCCTTCGCTACGGCGACGCTCTGCCTCCGGCTCGAATCACACCCTCCCGGGAGGCGCTGCCCGCCGTATCGCAGAGATAACACCCCGCCCCGCGTCTCACCGACGGCGCAGCCGCGCGGCCCGGTTCGCGGGGCAGACGAGCCTCCGCCCTCAGCCGCTTCGCCTCCGCGGGCGGCGCCGACTCCCCGGTCCCCAGACAGACAGCCGCCTGGGTAGCGACCGGGCCCACGCTCACCTCCCGGACGGAAAACACGGAGGGAGGTGACCTTGCCTTCCCGGCCGGAAGTGCCTCCTACTACAGGACCGGAACTACACTTCCCAGAAGTCAAAGTTGGGGACTACATTTCCCAGAACCTCCAGAGGAGGAATAACGAAGTCCCCCCCCCCCCAATTAATGCCATTAAAAAAAACAACAGCAGCAGTGGATAGACTAGCGTCGGCCTGGGGACTCAAGGGTCCCAGTTCGATTCCGGTCAAGGGCATGTACCTTGGTTGCGGTCACATCCCCATTGGGGAGTGTGCAGGAGGCAGCTGATTGATGTTTCTTGCTTATCGATGTTTCTAACTCTCTATCCCTCTCCCTTTCTCTCTGTAAAAAAAATCAATAAAATATATTTTTTTAAAAACAAACAAACAAACAAAAAAAACAATAAACAAAAATCACCAAACTCTCGGAGTTCCCGGTCTGCAACTTCCAGAAATCCCTTTAATGACTTCTCGCCATATTGCCGGCCTCAAGCAGTTCTTATGAAGGGTTAATATGGTGGATGGTGAGTGGGCAGGCTCAATAACCATCTCAGAGAGTGAATAAAGAAAAACCAAATTTCTTTAAGGAAAGGGGATAGGAAACGGGATACCCAAAGGGAAGGGCTGCACAGCACTGAGCCAATGGGACCTGGGGGCTGGAGTTTCATCTTTACACTAGAGGCCCGGTGCACGAAATTGCACACAGCTAGGGTCCCTAGGCCTGGCCCGCAATCCAGGCCAATCAGGGCCTTCCGGCTGCTGGCAGGCGCTTTCCTTCATTCTGCGCCGCCCCCTGGTGGTCAGCGCACATCATAACAAGCAATTGAACTCCCAGTCTCCTGGTCAAACTCCCGAGGGGACACATAGCATATTCTATCTAATAATAGACAAACATGGTAATTGTCCATACCTTTGCTACGCCTCCCATTGGCTAATCAGCACAATATGCAAATTAACTGCCAACAAAGATGGTGGCTAATTTTCATACTGCAGGCAGGTCGGGACAGCTCCATCCCACCTGCCCTGCCACCATCCAGGCCTGCTATCTGCAATCCTGGGCGGGGAGGGGGGTCCTGTGTGCAACCGGACCCGGGGCGGCCGGGTGGGGCAGCAGCGATCTGTGTGCGACCCAGGGCGGGGCCCCAAACCCTGGATCGGCCCTGCCCTGTGCACGATCTGGGGAGGCGGGGCAGGCACCTAGGGTTCGGCCTGCCATCTGCCACCCGGGGAGCGGGCCTAAGCCAGCAGGTGGTTATCTCCCGAGGGGTCCCAGACTGTGAGAGGGCACAAGTGGGGCTGAGGGACACGCACCCCCCGCCAGTGCACAAATTTTTGTGCACTAGGCCTCTAGTATATATGTAGATGCAGTCACTGGCAGGAAGCTCTTGCCCTCAGTGGGTCTGGGGAATGAGTTGGTGAGCTTGGAATTTGGATGGAATGCAGGTGTGCGATCAGGTGTCTTTAGGACAGTTTCAGTTCCCTATGAGGTCTGACTCCTGGTGTCCAGCAAGTTTTTCCTGGTCTTTTGTTTTCCTGTGGTGGGAGTTGAATCTGCAACCCTTTGCTGTGCAGGCTGATGCTCTAATCACTGAGCCAAACTAGCCAGGGATAATGGTATTTTTTATTTTTATTAAATGCTAGTGCCTGGTGTACAGATTCATGCACATTGAAAGGAAATTAATTAGAAGGTGGTTGGCGGGGTGGGACTGGGCAAGATGGGCTGGAAACACCCTGGAGCCAACCTCTGGCGCCCACTCCCCAGCCTGGGGCGGTGCCACAGCTCGAAGGGTGTCTGCGGAGTGAGTGGTATCCCTCTGGCAGGTGGGGTCCCTCAGCCTGGTCTGCGGGGATTGGGCCAAATCCGGCTCTCCGACATCCCCTTGAGGGGCCGGGATTGCAAGAGGGAAGTTCTCTGGTGATGCACCCCAGACTCAAGCTCCCTCCTCTCTGGTTCCGGGGTGTGTCACCCAAGAACCACTGCTGCCAAGTCACCACAGCTTGGCAGCTCCTGCATTGAGCATCTGCCCCCTGGTGGTCAGTGCACATCATACCTACTGGACAGTCAGATGGTCGGACAGTCGCTTAGCCTTTTATATATATAGACGTTTTTATTTATTTTAGGGAGAGATAGAAGCATGGACCAGCTGCCTCCTACACACCAGCCCACAACCTGGGCATGAGCCCAAACTGGGAATTGAATTGGTGACTGCTTGGTGCTTGGGTTGGTGCTCAACCACTGAGCCACACCAGCTGGTCTTAGTTTTAACTAGACCCGGATAAAGCCAGAAGCTGCTTTCTCAGGACTGGTGTCATATGCAGAGAATGACAAACGTTGCTCCAAAATCCTAAATAACAATGTTGTGAACTCCGTGTAGTATCCCTATCTTCATACACTTCATACGTGATCAGATATGTATCAGAGGTCATAAAATTAGTTCTGTAAAGAGCCAAGTAGTAAGTAAAAGACCATATGATCTGTCACAACTACTCAACTCCACCATTCTGCATGACAATAGTGGTCATGGCTGTTTCAATACAATTTTATTTACAAATAGAAGTGGTGGCCAGATTTGGCCCAGGGACCATCATTGCCAATTCCTAGATTAAATTCTAAAAGGCTATTGGAATGTTGAAGTAGCCCCGAGCTGGGGCCATAAAAGTGTATTGATGGTCCTAACACATGAAACTAAACTTCTTTGATGTTTACTAATATGTAGAGAAAAAAAGCACATGGTGGCTTAATGGGCATTTATTAGGTGCCACCAGGCGTGTTGATTTGCTCCAGCAATAAAACCACATTTGGGCTGAAACCGGTTTGGCTCAGTGGGTAGAGCATCGGCCTGCGGACTGAAGGATCCCGGGTTCGATTCCGGTCAAGGGCATGTACCTCGGTTGCAGGCACATCCCCAGTGGGAGATGTGCAAGAGGTGGCTGATCGATGTTTCTCTCTCATCGATGTTTCTGGCTCTCTGTCTCTCTCCTTTCCTCTCTGTAAAGGGTCAATGGAATATATTTAAAAAAAAAAAAAAAAAAAAAAAAAACACATTTGGAGCTGCAACTGGACTCAATTCCTAATTAAGTTTACAATAATCCCATGTCATTATCCAAGGTTCACCTGGATTCTGCACAGGTCAAATGAGTGAATTGAATGGGGATGTGATAGAAATCATGACCACTGCAACTTTCAATATACCGATAGTGGCATTAATCTCGGTAACCCCTCTAGGGATATGGTACTGCTTTTGGTTTTCTATTTTGATACACGTGAGGCAGTTCTAGTGTTTACTTGTCCTTTCTTACCAAATAGCCCTTATTACATGGGACAGGGAATTAATGTGAGAATTCCTCCAGTGGTTGAATATTTCTTTTTTTTTTTAATATATCTTTTTTATTGATTTCAGAGAGAAAGGGAGAGGGAGAAATACAAATATCAATGATGAGAGAGAATCATTGATCAGCTGCCTCCTGCATGCCCCCAACTGGGAGCTGAGCCCACAACCCGGGCATGCGCCCTTGACCAGAATCGGACCTGGGACCCTTCAGTCTGCAGCCTGACACTCTATCCACTGAGCCAAACCAGCTAGCGCTGAATATTTCTATTGCAACTCTGCATTCTGGAACTTGGGAAAACAACCATAGGATGGGGTCAGGGATCTGTTCAGACCACTACATAGAGGCCCGAGCAAAAACATCCATTATTTGTCTTGTATAAGCTTCTCTCCTAACTGGTGGACTACAGTGCCATTTTGGGGGTTCCAGAAAATGTCAGTTCTAGTGTCCAGTAATACCTTCATATTCCAGTTATTTACTTACCCAGTGCATCCCTCCATAAAATATGGCTGTAAGTCACTTTGAGGAAGTCTAGGATGATTTATGGCATATAGTTTGGGAAGTATAACAGAGTCATTCCTTAAGGAGACCCAACTTGACCCTCATTCCAGATGTGCTGGAAATGAAAACCAACTCATGTTATGAAATTGACTGAGGATCCACAACTCTCATGTTGATTCAAGTTAGATTTATGTTCGCCAGACCTAGAACCTTTCCACTTATTCAAATCAAGTAGGATACTGGTAGGCTTCCTATTAGTAGGCTAGCCTGAGGGACAATACAATCAATAACCCAATGCAAAAATTTCTGTGAACCAAACCATTCTGATGATATATATCCCTTTGGATTTGCTGTTCATAATGAAAACACAATCAGTTTGTTTCTGCCAGTGAAATGTCTCCACTTGACCTGTGATGCCCCAGCATCCCACCATCCTCACTGACTTCAGGGAGCCCCATTTTAATGTCAAAATTTCCTTCTCTCATTCTTGGCCTGTAGCGAAGGGTCATTATAGAGCTCTCCAAGACTGCCAATGCTCCCCTAGGTTGCTGTGTATCTTCTACAGCAGTGTTTCTCAACTGCAAACAACTCTGCCCCTTCCTTACTGCCCCCTACCCCCACATCAGGGACATTTGGCAGTATCTTGAGACATTATTATTATTATTATTATTATTATTATTTTACAACTTGGGAAAAAGAGAATGTGCTACTGGCATCTGGTGGGTAGAGGCTAAAGATGCTACTAAATATCCTACAAAGTACAGGACAGCCCCCAAGAATGAAAAATTATCCAACAAAATGTCAATAGTGTCAAGGTTGAGAAACTTTCTATAACATACTTAGAAAGTTCTGGCAATTAAAAATATATATAATTTTATTGATTTCAGAGGAAGGAAGAGGGAGATAGAAACATCAATGAGAGAATCATTGATCAGGTGCCTCCTGCATGAGCCCCTGACTGGGAATCAAACCTTGACCTTCTGGTTCATAGGTCGATGCTCAACCACTGAACCACACTGGCAGGGCAATTCTGGCATTTTGACTTTAGCATAAGCTAACTCTGACCCAGGTTTCAGTCATTCACTAAGCAAACTGTTGAAGGCATTCCCAGGTACTAAGCTAACTAACACACTAAGTCTGCAAATGGTGTTCAATGCACCCATATCGACAAATCCAGCCTAATCCAACATTAC